TAGGACAGAGTGCGTGCGAAAGAATGCGCGTTACAGCGCTAGCCTCAACACCTGCCTCTCTTCCTAAAAACAACTCATGGGTTTCGAGTCTTTTGCGCGTGGGTGTGGGTCATCTCAAGCGCGGTTGGCGTGCACGCGCGCCAGGCCTGTTTATTCTGTTTTTGTCGTTTGCGTGCTCCAACCTTACTGGTCGTAGAACGCGGCTGGGCGCTCGCTCTAAAGCAACCCTCTTCCCCACCTATTCAAACGTCGTTCCGGGACCGCCTGTATCTTTATCTGTTTGTAATTATCAACCGCATCAAGGAATTAGCATCTATTCAACTACCCCAATTTTCGGGAAACAGGCCGGTCTTGATCGACTTTTTTTCTACTGGGGGCAGATTTGGCTGAAAGTTTTGTCCGCAGGGGTAATTCGACCTCCTAAAGACAAATATCACATCCACTTGGCCTGAAAATGCCTCGCGCCCGCGCCAACAAAAACCCTAACCAATCACCACCCCCTGGAGCCCTGCGCACAGTTGCGCGAGCGCGAAATACCCTAGGCTATCAAGATCCCCCCTGAAAATTCTGTTATACGGAGTTTATTTACAAACTTAGATCGGAAACACTGGTGAGCAGATTCGCTGCCGTCAGCACATGTCCTCCTCCCCCCCCCGCCCTCTCCCTACCCCCAACTGGAGCAGTCTCTTGAAATGTTTATTGTCGCAGTTGAAATGAAACCGGACTGAATTTTCAGGATGCGCTTGCCTGCGTGAAAGCCAACACTGTGCAGATGCTGCAATAATAAAAGTGATTATCGCAAAAGTGAATGAGTGTATTGAAACCAGTGAAAGAGGTTTTTGAACTCGTGAGGCTCAACGCGCGTGCAGTCTTTCAGTGTGAGCACGTATTTCTAGACCTTTTGTATTTCTCTTCCAATTCGATGGAACTGGTTGCAGCCTTCTCTTGACTGAATCAATTTCAGGCATCTTGGGTCACAACTGAAGGAAATGTATGGTGTGATAGGCCGAATGATGCTCGAAGACTTTGCCTCGTTGATACAAAAGAATTTTGCAACGAAACCTGAAAGGGTGTGATGTTAAACGTATATGTAAGCATTTTAGATAACACTGTTCCTTTTTCTGCTTTACCCTTCAAATAACGTACTATGCAGGTCTTACCTGTAAGGTGGATCTTCTTTAGGTTGCGTACTGAAATCACGTCGGTGCTTTCAAGAGGAATCGGGCGCCAGTTGACGACTGGGGGAGGGGGGGGGCGATTTTTGCCCTTTTTAACTACTTCCCACGTTTTGACGTATCCTTATACAGCCTCTTCCCTAGGTTGACAGTCTTTAACCAGGGACCAGTCGGATCGCCCGCCTTCGGCGGGCGATCCTCCTTATGCGTGTGAAGTGGGTCCCCGGCCATCCAAACTGAGGCCCAGTCGGATCGCCCGCCTTCGGCGGGCGATCCTCCTTATGCGTGTGAAGTGGGTCCCCGGCCATCCAAACTGAGGCCCAGTCGGATCGCCCGCCTTCGGCGGGCGATCCTCTTTATGAGTGTGAAGTGGGTCCCCGGCCATCCAAACTGAGGCCCAGTCGGATCGCCGCGCTTCGGCGAGCTATCCTTTTTAGTGGTGGTGGAAGTGGTCCCCGGCCATCCAAACTGAGGCCAGTCGGATCGCCCGCCTTCGGCGGCGATCCTCCTTATGAGTGTGAAGTGGGTCCCCGGCCATCCAAACTGAGGCCCAGTCGGATCGCCCCGCTTCGCGGGCGATCTCGCTTCATGAAGTGTGAAAGTGGGTCCGCCGCCATGCAAACTGAAGGCACAGTCTGATCCCGCCTTCGCGCGTGCGATCCTCCTTATTGAGTGTGAAAGTGGCGTCCGGCATCCAAACTGAGGGCCAGTCGGATCGCCCGCCTTCGGCGGGCGATCCTCCTTATGAGTGTGAAGTGGGTCCCCGGCCATCCAAACTGAGGCCCAGTCGGATCGCCCGCCTTCGGCGGGCGATCCTCCTTATGCGTGTGAAGTGGGTCCCCGGCCATCCAAACTGAGGCCCAGTCGGATCGCCCGCCTTCGGCGGGCGATCCTCCTTATGCGTGTGAAGTGGGTCCCCGGCCATCCAAACTGAGGCCCAGTCGGATCGCCCGCCTTCGCTACAGAAAATTTTTTTTGCAATTCCAGAACATTACCGTTTCACATTTGGTATATACCCCCCCCCCCCTAGTGGACGGTTGTGAAATTTTCGTAAGCGAGAGGGGTGGAATACGGTCACTGTATGCTTAGTGGATTGAACTATATACACATGCTAAACAGTTATGTTACCCGTCGCTAGCCCCCCCCCCCCATTAGAAATTGCTTGTAACAAAATGCGAGTCGATCGCAGAGCGGGTTCATCCAAACACTGCTCGCAAAACTGCTTTAAGTTCTAGCGTAGCAACTGCTCATCTGCCCGATGTTCACAGGGTTAGCATCTGCATTGTATACAATAATGTCGTGAATCGTAGGATAACACAACCATGTTATTATCAAGAATTTCGTGCATGAAAAAGTGATATATGCTTCACACGGTTATATTTTCAAGAGTTGGGGGGGCCCTTTTCCATCCAACGCTCGATCAGCCTTTTACTCCAACGTTTTCTTTCCCTGCTCGATCGGGTAGTTCCGGGTTCGAACTTCGAAATTTTTACTTGGTTCCCCGCCTACCCAGACAAACGCCCGCTTACTGCAATCTGCCGGGCTCTTTCCAACGCCCAGTTCGGATGTGCCTCCTTCTGTGTATCCACCTGCCCACTTTTTACTCGAGTCCCTTTTCCCGCTGCCGAGCAGTTCCGGGTCTGAATTTTGAAGATTTGCGTCAGGCCCCGCCTGCCCGAACAAACGCCCTGCTCACTTCGGGTATGCGCCCACGCCCATTGTGGGTGTAGTCTAACGTGGTGCATAGAGAATGATTTTGTCCCGGGTCCCTGTGATCTCTCCGGAGGAATTTTACGAATTTTTGTCGTTGGCACTACTCACTTCGGTGCACGCCCCGTCTATAGTGTGCGAGGCTGTTTGTGTGTATTTGGCATATTTTCAACATGCCCTCACCCCCATCCCAATGTTGACGGCGTTTAAGTGTTTTGTTGACGTTTTCAAGGGACACCGCTCAGCTGAGTATAGGCCCCGCCCATTGTGGGCGGAGCCTATTCTCCTATTGGTCCGACAAACGGACAGACAACTTCTGCTTATATATAGAGTATGAATGGCTTGACGACCTTGTTTCCAGCTTCTTAAGAGTTCACATGAGTTTTGCCAGAGCGAGGCATCGTAAATCCCGAACCAAGAGCGAAGCATATAGTTCAAATGCCGCCCCCCTCAAGCGCCGCTGGAATCGAATGAGTCCATCCGGTATCCCATCATTGCGCTCTTGTCTTCTTGAATTCGTATCACTACCCTATCACCATTGGTAAAACAAGGCAGCGAGCCGCCCTCACTCGCCCCCTCCTCGCCTCCAATTTGCGCCCTTGTCGGCCATATGACTTAGCACTTGACTGCATACACGGGGTTTTGTATTTCGGCTCGGCGACAAGCTCGCCCACAACGGGTGTGACTCCCTCATTTCATCTGCCAACTGTTTGCCTATCGTTTCCCACAATTTCCGCTCTCCGGGATCTTCTGGAACCGAATTACGAATTTTTGAAAGTTTGTAGCGAGCACCGCCCACCTATAGCACGCCCCGTCCATCACGGGTGTGACTCCCTCATTTCATCCGCCAACTGACTGCTTATCCTTACCCACAATTTCCGCTCTCCGGGATCTTCTAGAACCGGACTACGAATTTTTGAAATATGTAGCTCACAACTGTGCGCACGCCCGCCACAGTGGGCGGGCTTAGCTCGGTTCACGTGTGTTCCGTACTCTTGGCCCATGCCCTACCCAACCCACCCTTGACCCGTCCCTTCTAGCTGGCTCTTCAGGTGATTCCGAATTTCCGGACAGACAGACAGACAGACAAACAGACAAACAAACAGACAAACAGACAAACAGACAGACGTTGCCGTTTATACTCCCCCATAGCTATGGCATGGCAAAAATCTGGGCTGGCCAGCTCTCTTTGCACCAGGGCTACGAATTTGTCTGTAACCAATTTTTCCATAAAAAACGCAAATCGTGCTTTCTATAGGGATTGAGAATCCTTCACCTTATATTTTTTCATCATTATCAATGCTGTATTTCTCTGTATTCGTTGGCAAAGAGTTAAACAGCAAACTAATCCGAAAATGGGAAGCAAACCAATTCAAGCTTATAGTGCTCTTTCTACAGAAAATCCTTGCTAAAATAGTGTGTACTAACAATTATTCCGATGACCACGTGTGTGTAGCGAGTAATACGAAGGACTGGCTGTATAAATGAAATGGTGTGGGTACGGCTGGTTGTATTTGCTTTCTGTTTGTGTTTGGAGAAACTACATCAAAATCATGCACAGTGAAAATAATATGAATTTTTTTTGATATGGATTTGTTGATCGTGATTCGTATACAATTCGCGCGGTCCACGTGGCCCACAAAGCGCGCATTAAATGCGTATCACGCTGTCGTCAATATGTTAAAGCTGGTTATGAGCCCGTAAATGCTTGATGTTTCTGTTGTCTTCACCTACCATCCAATAGGCCTACGACCGTGCGCTGATCATCTGCGCCCTCTCATCGAGAGAGAGTTAGGTGAAGTTGATTAAGCCCGGGGATCAGAAATCATTTCGAGAACGGCCTCGTCTCTCCCAATCAAGCCTGCGGTGACTGCTTCTCTAAGAAAGCGCAGACGAGCAGCGACTGAGGTGTTCATATAGCGTGTGACATGATGGTGGGTCATCAGTAAAACCATACAATCACAAGCTTCCGGCCTTTCGCACTTGGGTGGCTGGTGCGGTCTATTCTACTGTGAACCTGCCCAGCTTGCATTCACAAAGGATTCACCTCTCAGGTAATTGTATAATGCGTCGTGCGCTAAAGAGAAGTTTCAGGGCGAGTTGTCGTGTGTTTTGATGGGTCTGGTACAAGTTCGACGATTCAGCTTCATGTCTGTTGTTAGAACTGAAATAATGGAAGCACTGAAAGGAATTTTACGGCACGAAGTCAAACTTCATATTGTGGAAAGTGGTCTTGACCTCACTGATTTTGATCCTACTCTCAAGTAAGTTAGATTCTAATCAGTCAGCTGGTTTGTTGTGCTGTCCCACTACCTGTCCTGATTTTGCAGTCAGCTTGGAGAACCTGTACGGCGGTTGAAGTTCAAGGATTGGGTGAAAACTGTAGAAGATGTTACAAAAGAATTTTTCGACTTTTGCAAGAGAGTTCAGGTTAGATTGTTATGGTTGACTATATTTCCACCTACTACACCCTTTCAATTTCTTTTTCGCATTTTTTTCTTGTCAGTTCTATTTTTTTTTCTTGTTTGCAGAGCCTCCAAGATGTGATTTGCGAAAGTGCAGAGCGGGTAAGGAGCAACGCTCATGTGACGGGTTTGAATGGCTTGAATTTTGTCAGTGAAGATTCTTTGCAAATACGTGCCCCTGTAGACTTGTCATCAAGCGACCAAGATGTAAGTTATCGTGGCATGAGCAGTTTTGGTACCTTCACCTTTTGCTGCTTGGGCTAAAATTCAGTTGCTTATTCAGGTCTCATTTGGTGGCGCTGGCGCTTCGACCCCAGAAACCTCTGGAGACCCAGCAGCTTTGCTGGCTGTTGAGGTACGCTCTTTGCCGCAGCTCATTCGAACTGCTTCAATACTGACTGAATTCGCTCATCACTGCGCCCAAACTCGCCTTTGTCGGTTGCTTATTGCTCGATTTAAGGTGAGCTATGAACTTTTCAATCCAAATCGTCGAATGTTTGCAGTGAAATTATTACTCGGATTTTTATTCACATGGTGACGAGTATTACTTTTTTAATTTGACCTGACTTCCCTTCGAATATTTCTCGTGGGAGGGAAAGCAAATATCAACAAGAAAAAATTTTCTAGCAGACTCCTTCCTCCCGCCCTCCCGAAAGCAATGACTGCCCTCGGCGAGGATTTCATAAGGATAATGTGCCCTAGTTTTACCCTTATTCCGTCAGTGACGATGCTCTTCTTTGTATGCGTAAAACTATTCATCTGAGCAGAGAAATTTAGCCATGAGTTCTTCCCGATCGGCGTTCGCTTCCTTTTCATCGTCTGAGAAGAAGGGGTGCCCAATGACATTGCTTAATCGAGTGCGCCCCAAGCTCATTCTAGATTGTGCCTTTTCCGATCGCGTTCTTTTACTACATTTGACTAGGGGGCAGTAGTCAGCGTACTCATCCATGTTGCACGGAGATGGCGTTTGACCCTGACCAGGACCGACTTTCTCCCGGAATCTTGCATGGGTTGGTGGTTTCCAGAGGAGTGGCTAACCTGAGCCGTGCAATATTTCCATTTGTAAGACCAACGTTTCGGCTTCTTCATCTTCGCTAGACCGCGGTGACGCGAAATCGGCCACATAGGCTGTACCAGTGCTTCAAGAAAATAATGGGAATGAAACTCCATCGTACTTCTTTTGTGAGTCATCCAAGAAACCATCGTACAACACGGAAACCTGTATCAGCTCACACCTCTGGTTCGTGGTATGATTCTTGTTGGAGCCGGGGGCAGCCATGACGTGGAAGAAATTAGTTCCATTAGTAAACGCGATTTTTCCTACCTTTACTTCTTCTAAAACATGGTTCCCCGTACCATGCGGTTCATTAAAGCCGAGGTGGCAAAACCCCTTTTCCCGCTTCTCCCCCCCCCTTGCTGGACCCATCTCCGCCCTAAGGCAGTTTCAAGCCCACCTCCGTTGGAACGTTCCCTCTTCTCGTGACCCTACGAGGGAGGAGGGGACGTCTCTCTTTTCCCACAGGTCGATCAGGAGGAGCACCAGAGGACTTACCCCACGCACAGGATGGACACCACTTAGCTCGAACAGGTCAAGTACGACAAATCTCCCATCCATCACTTACTCTTCGGCACACGCTTGAACCTCACTGGAGTGTTCATAAAAGAAACGGTGCTGATTAAAGAGTGATCGTGCTTTTTTGAGAGCATCGGCTTCTTCAATATAAGATGGGCTGACGTGACTTACTTGCCATGGATGTGGTACTCAAAAATGTTTTAGTTTTCCTCTCGAGAACGTGGGGTTCGTCATCCTCAAACGTTGTTTTAAAGGCATACTGTACTTTTACCTCCGTGGATCCTGGTCCTAGCCAGGATCCACGGAGGTAAAGGTACATAAATGTGTGGTGAGTAGGTTCGCAGGAACGCGCTGCTTTGTCCGGACAGAAGTGCACGGACACGGGGCTGGAGGGTAGTGATACAAGGGTGCCGTTTGAGACCACGCTCGCGCTGTCCTGAAGATGTAGCGCACGCGTCGACGCCGAAATTCCACTGCGAATTTTCAGTCAAAAATAGACAGCTACCAGACGTGGGAGGGCGCGAGGGCGTAGACAAGCTTTTCCGGCTACGGTTAGGCGTGTGACTGGTCCCGCGGCAACTGCGGTGTAGTGCGGTCCTATTCACTTCGGACATAGCAAAGACCAGGCTCCATGGGGGGCGAGTGTACAGTTTGTCTTTAACTTACGTTTTAATCCTCTGGCTCGATTCGGGATATGGTCCCAGAAGCGACCGTATCCCGAACCAAGTTTTCTCTTGCAGGTCTTTTACTGTGAAAGTTCTGATCTTTTTTATTTTGAAATCCTGTAGAATAAGTTACTTTACAGATTTGGTTGAAGTGAGGAGCGCTGCTCTTTTTTTAGAACGGGCGCGAGCTATGAACGCTGCTCTCTGGGGGTACGAGTATAGAATTTCAATATTACAGCTTCAAGACGGTGCGTCGGACCTAACCACGCCGGAACAACTAACGCAGCTGATTTTGTTGTTGAGGGGGTACCAACAGAATTGTGCCAACCACGGATGGCACAAAACAGAGGTGATTAGTTGATTCCCTATGATCTTGACCATTTGGTTAATTTTCTTTCCAATCTGCTTGTTTTACAGCCAGTCGCTGTGAGCCCACTGTCGACTTGTCTGCAGAAATTGTGTTTAGAGTATATTGAGCGTTTTCATGCTCAACGTCGTTCGAAGATGAGGTACGTTTGTTCACTTTTAGATTCTCGTGCTTAGCCCTCACCAGGGAAGTCCGCCAACTTACCATTTAACTTTGAATGGAGACCTGGGTAGATCGATAGAGTCTATAAGGTTATTTACAAATATAGATAGCAAAACCTGCATTTCACAAGCAACTTATGAGCAGGTAAAGTTTGTAATGGTGCAGTAGGGTGGAGGCTTGGTGGTGAGCTGTGAAGCATAAGCGAGGAATCGCATACGTCGAATCGAGTCGTCGAACTCACCACTGAACCACCACGATTCGATGTATGCGATTCCTCGCTTTCACAGCTCACCACCAAGCCTCCACCCTACTGCACCATTACAAACTTTACCTGCTCATAAGTTGCTTGTGAAATGCAGGTTGCAGTTTTGCTATCTATATTTGTAAATAACCTTATAGACTCTATCAATTTACCCAGATCTCATTCAAGTTTCCATGGTAAGTTGACGGACTTTCCTGGTCAGGAACGATACCCCTTGGAATATTTTACCTTGTGACCCGTTAAGGCAAACCCCACGATTGCATGTGTGGGTAAAGACATTCAGTGACGAGCCTGTATTCGCTAACTGACTTCCAGGGAGGAAAAAACCAAAAAAATCCAGGAGAACACCGTAAGAACCTGCTGGCAATTCCACTGGACGAGTTGTCCGGAGCTGCTCGTTTTATGTGAGCAGAGTGATATCCTGCCGCTTTTGGCTCATCAATCGTTTCGTTGCGTCACGAAAAATGAATGTCTAAAAAATGAGGTCGTTACAGGATAGGAAGGGTGGACGTCAAAACTGCAGCTCATGAGGGCCGCAGCGCCATTGTTATTTTCTCTCAAAGGGCGAAATCGGGAGTCTTAGAGAATGAGATTACTTGTACAAGGAACGACGCCTACGAATTGCATGGGCGCGGGACTGCTCTCAAGTGAGAGATTTGACTCTTACTGTAGGTAGGTCCGCAGCGGCAGAAGTGCAATTAGGGTGACTTCTGCAGCTGCGCACCTACCTACGTGGGACAAGAAAGCCTGAGGCTTCTAATTGCTCGATCTTACTGATATCTCCGCACAGTAGTACGCCATGCGCGCACGCCATGCAGCCTCGTCGCTGTTCGTTAGCACCATCTCGCCGATAGATGTTCGATGGTCTTACTGAAGCCACTTTCTGAAATAATTTAGATCTAGAGGTCTCACTTGCTTTTGTCAAGTCCATCAAACACTGTCCCGGTGAGAGAATGCTATTTGCCACTGGACCATGCTCTAAATTCTAAGATCAGTGGACTGGGAAAGATTCACAGAACTTCCACCAATTTTTTTGTAACTGTTTTTGCTTTGAAGTTCAATGCTGGATGCAGAATTATGGAAAGCGGCCGAAGTAGGAGCTGAATTTCAATGTCTCGTCGATGAATCTCTTCGCACAGGCCGATTAAGAAATGTGCCTACGCCTGGCATATCTGTAGGAGGAGGAGAGGCGCTTATGGTCGATAACACGTCGTATGTGGTTGTGAAGTCAGTTTCTCTTCAGTTTTACCTTTCTCTTCAGGTTAAGCTGTTAGAGACCCTCTCTCTGGGGCGAAAGCAATTGGAAGGGACCGCGCGACGAGTACTCTTGTTGCCTGCGCTCTTCATCTCAGCGAGTTAGTGATCGCTTCGCCCACTTGGGCTCAGGCTTAGAAGAGTGCGTCGACCGAAGCCGTTGCGGCCTAGCGTCGCCGGGTGGTCCCCTACAGCTGCGTTAGCGCCCTCACTTCTGGCTGTCAAGTAGTTTTTGATGATTTTCTGGTTGTTTTGCTATTATTTTGTATTCAATTTAGCTCCGCTTTAATTTTCTCGAAAATTCTCGCTGATTATTGTGAATGTTTCTCTGCACTACCGGAATTCGCTGCCGATCTCTTGTCACGTGTTGTCGAGCTTCTCAAAGGGTTCAACAGGTACACATTTTTTACAATTTTTTTTCTTGTGGGTAAATGTCTTAGTAGTAGGCTTGGGGCACTATTCCAGTTAGGTATAGCATTCTGTGCGACAAAGGTAGCTGAAGGGTGGGGGGCACTCAGCGGCACGTCTATGTCGCCTCATTTCTGCGACATAGCCGTTCCGCCGCGCGGCGCACCCTGTGAGTATCAGGCTCAGACTTGTGGTACGAAAAGAGTGATGATAATTGTAATTGCAGTCGTTGTTGTCAGCTGATCTTGGGTGCGGGAGCTCTACAACTGGTTGGCCTGAAGACGATTTCGGTTCGGAATTTAGGTAGCTCTTTTACTCGTTCTTCCATTTTGCTGTCGTTACAAAATGTTTATTCTAGCTCTCGCTTCACGATCCTTACAACTGATCGTCCATTTTGTGCCGTTCGTAAGTCATGAAGCTGAACTGGCCCTCAGAGATGATCAGAAGCACTTGCTACGTCATTTCAAACAGGTTTCACTTGCATTTATGGAGCTCCAGTTTCAGATTTGAGCAGCGTTCAAACTTCTCGGTGAAGCGCGTGAAGTATGAACGCCTCAATGAGCGGCGTAGCCAAGCAGGAATCAGGCATGGTGTATAGCCTTGATTTCTGCTCTACCCCTACAATTACATCAGCGCTACATTTCCAGTCCTTCAGTTCGTTGTAGTTCACCAGCTACAAACTTTTGAAATGAGGATCCTGCGGTTTGAAGGCTAGCTCCGCCCACTGTGGGCGGTCTCAACACACTTGAGGCGTGCCCAACACTCGCCAGATTGCTATTTCTGAGCTCTCTCGCAAACCAAGTTGATGAACTTTGTAGGAAACGCCGCCCATCGCAAGTACGCCCCGCCCATTTTGGGTGTGTCTCCCAGTTAGTCTGGCAACCCCTTGCTAACCTTATTCCACTTTTTCCCATCTCTGGGCTGCTCCGGAAAGCGAATTATGAATTTTTGTTCGCGGTACCGCCAGCTTTCAGAGCATGCTGCCAACTGTGGGCGGCTTCGCATAGGTCAGGTGTGCTCTTTACTTCTTGTCCCATGTCCTACCCATCCCCACCTTGACCCGACCTCTCCAAGTCGTTCTTCAGGTCGAACCGAATTTCCGGACAAACAAACAAACAAATAAACAGACGAAGTAAATTATATGGTGGTTGATTGTTTGCCGTTCAGGCTTTAACTGACTACAGTGACCATATCGGGGAGATAACATCAAAGCTTGTCAGTGTTATAGATCATCACACGACTAATTGCTTGAACAATGTATGTCGCTTTCTCATAATTTTCATTCATCAATTGGCACCTTTCTAAATTAAAGATTAAAGAATATGAATTTCTGCTGTTTCAGTGGGAGATAAGTTCCTCAGTGCCATCGGCGGCGTTTCAGCAGATCTGTCGGCAGATGCAGAAGTTTCATAATAATGGCTTAGCAGGCATAATACCAATGACAACAATAAAGGTAGTGCATCTCAGTTTTTCTATCTTTCGTTGATCGCCACAATTCTGCAATCCGCGTTTCGCGTAGAGTGGGAGTTATTACTTCAGGCAGTGGTGCGTGGAGGCAGCGTTCAGACTTTGCGATCGCTGGCGCGTCGCGTACATGACGTCGCGCTGCTCTTATCAACAGCGCTCCAGTGGTAGGGTAGGAAATGCAGCTGTAGACGAGTATCGATCGGCGTTGACCGTTAATATATTGGAAGTTAGCGAAGGATTATAGGGGGTAAGGCATGCTAGCACACACAGTCCGGTATCGATCGGCGCTGGCGCGTATTATGCGGAGAGTATAGGAAGAATAGGGATAACACTGTAAGGCTAGGCGCTACGCTTTGTCTCCTATACTCGCTCCAAAACAAACAGCGGGCTGGCCCCGATTCGAACCCGTTTAAATTTGGTGGCGTCTAGACTGGAGCGCTATGGCAAGCGCAGTAGCGTGTGGACGCGCTTCATCGCGAAATCTGAACGCTGCCTTAGGGAATAGGTTGGACGAGACGGGAGAGCCTCAATACTCCTAAAAAGTGAATCAAATATTTAGGATAGATTTTTGTGGATTAGATCCAGCTCAATCATTGTCACTCATTGCACATTTACGGTGTTCGAAACGGTGCTTTAGTTTTATGGATTTCAGGCCTTATTTGAGACGGTTCATGAGCATTTCAAAGGAAATTTGAAATTGCAGCTGGCGAAGATTGGAATTTCACCGCACGACTCGCTGAAATACGGGTGAGACATACTTTGCTGGTCATTCTACGACTCTTAAACATTTTCTGCTGAACCGATGAAATGATTTGATTTGATCGGCTATGCAATTACCTAGAAACCGGAAATCATCATTTCTGACCTCTACACGTAGGATCCCGGAGGCTGACAAGTTCTCCATTGGTGACTTCGACGCTTATAACATTAAGGTGTGGGCAAAGCATGTAGAAGACTCCTTGTGCAAAACTAGTAATGCCATACTGGAGATAAGGACGTCTTTCTATGTTTGAAGGGATGTCCGCGATGAATGAAAAAGTTCAAAGTACGGCAAATCTGTTTGAATGAGGTTAATCTCAGTTTTGCACAAGGTTTTCTTCAAAAGCGTTCTCCAAGCTTTGGGTGGATGTGAAGCTGTAGAGTGGGCACATTGTTCTCACGACCCGCGCCCACCGGCTTACAGGTGTGGAGTGTTGCTTCCCAGCCGTGGCATCACAGTGCGAGTTGGCTTGGAATGTAGAGTCGACGTACAGCGTCGCAGGCATGCTAAGTGAGTTGCCAGGACGGATGCTGAGTACGTCACTCACCTACAACTCCTGTTTTGCTGCGACTGGGAAGTAAGCTCCACACCCCTAGCTCACAGTCCGAGTCCCATCATGGAGCGGGGAAATGTAGTTCGCGCTCGGCCTCCGGAGCAGTTCTTCTGGATGGATGTCAATTTTACAGTCGATTTGAGGTGTAGACACACGTCGTACCAACCACTACCATTCTATCCATCCCGATGATAATCCCTGCCCGCTCAGCGCATTCCGTGCACTGGAGTAATCCCTACACGGCGCCAGAATCAAAAGGAGGTTGGGAGATCTATCGTTGCGACGAAGCTCATATACTACTTGCTGTTTCTTAGCCAGTTTACACACCGGAGTATCCAATGTTGGATCAGTCAGGTCCGATGCGAATACTCGTACAGTGTAGTTCGCTGCGGACGGTTGGGCGTGTCAGGCGGGATGAGTTTGGCGCGGTGCCAAACCCGTTCTCCACCAGTTGTTAAAGCGAGCAAATGATATGACTGTATCATATCGTTCGTATTACTCGTTTTCTACCACTTTTTGTCGCATGCGCGCTTCAACAAGAAGGCAGAGAACGGCTTTGACGGGCTCATACTGCCTGACACGCCCAA